TTCTTGCTCCTATTTTGTCACATGGCTTCAGATAACTGTGGATGATGCAATAATGGCCAGTATGTGAAACTTCCAAACGGAGCTGATGTTTGTGAAGGTCAGAAAGTATTTCCATTCACTAAATTCAAAGTTGTTACTGGAATAAGTGATAACATTCTACGAAAGGTGGATAAAAAAAAGTAGTTTCCTATGACTAGCTGTATTGTATTTTTGCATCAATGCATCACTAGGCACTTGTAGGCCTAACACACTGCCTGATAGTTAATGATCTAACCTTTAATTTAGTTGACACTTACTTTCAGTAAAAGATATAAGATATTATTTCACATCAGTCAGCACATATCAGTACTGTAAAAGCCACTGATATGATGCAAGATATAAATATAAGCAACTGATACACACTCAGGATGTTTCAAGGGTCTCAAGCTTAAACACGCATCTAAATAGTTGTAAACGGTTACTTGCATTGGTTTCGTTGCTGAAACAAGAGTCCTGATGCGGTAGACAACGGTTCTCGATGTTCTTTTAGAAGTGAGCTGGAAGTTTACTTCTGGTTCTTCTGAAGATAGGAAAGTCCACAGCGGATCGACAGAATTACTTGAAGATGAAAAACTGCCGGAAAATCAAACTCGAGGAGAGTTTTAGGAGTCTTGGAAAGTGTCGTCTCAAAAGAAGAGGTTTTCTGAGCAGAGATTAGTCTGAGCTAATGGGTTTTATAGTTCCAATCCACACCCACCTTTGGGGGGAATAGCCAATGCCAGGCGTGAATTTTTGAACGGGAGAAGTTTTCTTTGTCTCCCTTTATGGCCCATTTGCATGTTTATGGCCGGTCTGGAGGATTGGTGCAGTTTTACTCAAAATATGCTTCAAATAGTATGATGCATTTTACGGTCACATAGTGTACATCATTGTTTGAGGAATAATCATTTGGAATCATTTTGATACCAAGAACGAAACATCAAGAAGATCTTAAAGCAGAGATTCACTCATATACCTGAATATAAGCATTGAGAGTCTAACTAATACAAATAAAGAGTTGTAACTAGGCTAATACAATAGGGAAACATACAAACAACACATGCATATAGGTCTGGAGGATTGGTGCAGTTTTACCCAAAATATGGTTCAAATAGTATGATGCATTTCACGGTCACATAGTGTACATCATTGTTTGAGGAATAATCATTTGGAATCATTTTGATACCAAGAACGAAACATCAAGAAGATCTTAAAGCAGAGATTCACTCATATACCTGAATATAAGCATTGAGAGTCTAACTAATACAAATAAAGAGTTGTAACTAGGCTAATACAATAGGGAAACATACAAACAACACATGCATATACCAGATACAATTGTAACTGATTAATTATTGTCTAAATAAAGAAAAGGTCTATATGTGTGTGTGTGTTGTGTATTGTGTGTATGTTGTAGTTTTGCAGGTCAGCCAGGCCCATTGGCGCCTGGCACCGGGGGGTCATTTACTTCTCTTTGGAAACTGTTTGAAGTCAGATGGGGAGATGATAGTGGTAGACTGCTTAGCATCTCCTTGATAGTGGGGGGCACCATTTGACAATTTAGCACCCATATAAATGCAGTGGCGGCTCGTCGGGGGAGGCAGAAAAAATAATTAATTAAAAATAATTTTAAGGTGAAAATGGGAGGAGGACGATTTAATGTTAATAAACCCCAAAGACCATCCATGATTTTACGCAGACGCTACACTCTACAGGGGAATTTGGGGGGCAGAACCAAAACAAAAAATTGTTTGGAAGCAAAGATTGCTACTATAACTGGGAGAAACTGCAACATGCAATATGGCAGCTCTCATAAAGGAAGTCGCATCTTGAAAATAATAAATACCCACTAGAGACACTGCAGTGATGACGTATTTTTGTAGGCCAACTGAGAAGTTATCTTTACCATGATTCCCTCAACAAAACACAAATAGAATTTTCCCATTGACTTTTGAATAACTACAGTAAATAAGGTCTGTGACCAAAAGTACGTCATCCTTGCAGTATTCTATTGAACAGCAAACTGAAAAACAAAAATTTAACAATAAATGGGTGTGATGGCATTTGTAATAAAATCTCGCCAAAATAAAGATGTTTTGGAGTTTGTTTCAGTGGTTTGAACAGCTCGCCAGCACTAAATTTCCAGAAGAACTTACAACTTCAAAATGCCATTGGTTTTAACAGTGTGGTTGACAACAAAATGTTTACTAACATTATACCACTGCTCAGGTATTTCAAATTTCTTTTAACCGCTTAGCAAAGAACGTTTACATCCTGAGATGAATACTTAGGACTGCACTTGCACATAGGTTGGAACCACCTGAAAATATGCTTTTTTTAACACTATTTGAGCAAAAAAAAGACAGTTTATGTCTGATTTTGTTGATGAAATATGTTATTAAAATTGAGTTTGGCAATATTTCTGTAGTTCCTTATTCAAGTAGATGGGAGCTGATCTTGCATGACTGAAATAACTGCCTAGAGGCATTGCCAGTTTAGCTGCTGAGTGAAAAGCCATTTTAACCTTTAATCCTTAAACATACTGTACAACATATGGACTGTTCGGTTCTGACTATTTATGACATTACGGTCACAGTCGTAGTGCTGCAGATTATGCTTGAGGTCATAACCGTAGTGGAGCACCAGTAAAATAACAGCAAATTTTCATTTTTGGTTGTACTATCTCTTAAAAACTTTTAAGTGGGATTGTAATATCAAACATGGACCATCCACATAATTTATCTTAGCTGACATCAGCTAAATATTTACATCAATGAAAGGTGTTCAGATGTAACAACACTGAAAAAGGTATGCTGTCCTAACTTAGAGGCACTCATCATAAACTGTAAACCTTTCTACTCGCCGCGGGAGTTTTCCTCTTTCATTCTCATGAATGTGTACATGCCTCCAGACGCGTGCGTGAGCGCCGCGATGCAACAGCTGGCCGAACAAATAACTGAAATGGAGCAAAGATACCCAGACTCTATTTGAATCATTCTTGGAGATTTTAACAAATCAAATCTGTCCCGTGAACTGCCAAAATACAAGCAGCACATTACGTGTCCCACCAGAGACAGCAATATATTGTATCACTGTTACACAGCAATAAAGGATGCATATCACTCTGTCCCACGAGCAGCTTTGGGGCTCTCTGATCACTGTTTGGTTCATCTTATACCGACCTACAGGCAGAAACTGAAATCAGCTAAACCTGTTTTAAGGACTGTTAAAAGATGGACTAATGAAGCAGAGCAGGATTTACAAGCTTGTTTTGACCTCACTGATTGGAGTGTTTTTGAAGCTGCAGCCACCGATCTGGACGAGCTCACAGAGACTGTAACTTCATATATCAGTTTCTGTGAAGATATGTGCATTCCTACCAGGACATTCTTATCATTTAATAATGATAAACCGTGGTTTACTGGGAAACTCAAACAGCTTCGTCACGCCAAAGAGGATGCTTACAGAAGTGGGGATAAAATCTTGTATAACCAGGCCAGGAACAGACTAACAAAGGAGATCAGAGTGGCACAGTCTGCAGAGAATCAACAACTGGCTGACAATCTGAATGTGTTTTACTGCAGATTTGAAAAGGATAGTCTACCACCCCACATCCACTCTGATCTGCACTTCACACCTTCACCTACCACCCCTGAAACCCCCCTCCCTCCCTCCCCCACCATTCAACCTGTGTTTCAGGTCTGTGTAGAGGATGTGAACCGGGTCTTCAGGAAG